TTACACAAACCGAAACAATCATATTTTACTCACCGCTTGGCCAAAGATTCTAAATTTCATATCCACAAGATCTTGAATACCCCTTGAACTTTTTGACATTTGCTGAACGGCTATATGTATAAAAATCTCTTTGTATTCAAGCGCTGTCGTGTAGAAAGTTTCGTATGTATACGCCGACTAGAAATATTTATTTTGAATTTTTCAAGATGTCGGGTTTTACTCGCACTTGCGTACATTGCGCAATAATTGGCCAATAAGAAGCTCCTTTGGCCGGGATGACGTCAAACTCACGCGTGTAGGTGCAATTTGACCTTGCGAATCCATTTCTGGCCTTTGCAGGGTCATACTGTGGTCATACGATACAAACGTCGCATTGTTTTGACGGTTTTAAGACGTATTTCCGGTTGGGATTATTCACTTCGAGCTCACAGTCGGACAAGAAATGGAAATATATTGATAAAAGATACAGATTTGTAGATTCAGGGTTGCAAATAACACTCCAAAAACACTATTTAATGGGGATTCGAACAAGACTATTACAAAGACGATATGTTCGAAGCGGCCAAAGTTATTTTCGGCGAAAGGTATGAATAGTCTATATTTTTGTTCAGACAATTGCGTAATTTGATACAATATTATCGTGTTTGACTTCAAAGGCCCATAAATCGCTACAATGTTGATAATGACTATAACTATAGGGAGGAATTAGTTGAATCTTTTATTTCTGAATCGAATGGTGGTATTTCTGTCTTCATAGCATGCACTGAACCGAGGATATAAAAATTTCTCGCCGTCAACCGCTAGCGGATGACGAGATTGGCTTGTGATGCAAAAGAGAACTAGACAAAATTGTCTGAAATTTTGTACAGTAATTAAAATCTCGACAAATTTTCCATCTGTTAACTCAAAATATGATTGCAGCTTTTAAATTTTGTGCGCGAGCCATTTTTTGTTTGTTGGAAAAGACACCCCTGGTTCACAAAATTTGAGTTCGGGAAATTTTTCTCATTATTCTACATTATAAGTATCCGAAGAGGCTATATATATAAAAAACGGATACAAATAGCTGTTTTGCGAAATTGAGAGCAATTTTAAATCTGTTCAGTTTTTTTTATACACCCTGTAGTATATTCCTCCTCAATAAAAACACTCACACACATAATATCACTACTATACCGTATTTCTCGTTCTCAAAAAAACACGCAAAATATCACTATTATAGTGTATTGTTCGTTCTCAATAAAAACACGCAAAATATCACTACTATCGTGTATTCCTTGTTCGCGTAGCGTGTTTTCAAATTGCTTTTTCTCTTTTCACTAACATTTCAGCAATGTAACAACCTCTCCTATTACCAAACTTCCTTACATAATTACCTCATTTATCACCAACATGTCAAGATCATATCACAATATATAAACCGATCGAACGTCAATACAGTGACACTTCATCGCTACTGTTAAACTCTTCGCGACGCACTTATAATAATTACGTCACTTCATTTCACTTCGTATCATCGTATCATCGTATCACTGAAATATATACCTTGCCCAGTTTTATTAAATAACGCGCACTTATAATAATTATGTCACTTCATTTCACTTCGTATGTATCATCGTATCATCGTATCATTGAAAAATCTACCTTGCCCGGTCTTATTAAATAACGCGCACTTATAATGATTAGCCTACGTCACTTTATTTCACTTCGTATCATCAAATCATCGTATCATTGAAAAATATACCTTGCCCAGTCTTACTAAATAACGCGCATTTATAATAACTACGTCACTTCATTTCACTTCGTATCATCGTATCATGATAACAAGTATAGCTTGAAAAATGGACGGGTATTCTATAATCGCTCCAATTTCCCGCCATTTTCATTGTCGTTGTTTTGAAAATACAAATGGTTTTTGGTTTTGTCAACCTCGCAACCGTCTAATATATATCTTCTAGTTATTATATGACTTTTCAATATTCTCTATTCTGATTGGTTGACAAGCAGTACGTAAAAACCCATATCCGGAAAATTTTGCTTTGCAAACAAAAAAAATATTTTTGCTTTTTAAATTTCCAATTGTGCTTTACAGATAAAAATTTCAAACAACCAAATTGTTTTTGATTGAGCATGCATGCCTACCGTAGATTGTTACCCATGCGTGAAACTGACTTAATTACCTCATTTATCACCAACCTGTCAAGATCATATCACAATAAACCGATCGAACGTCAATATAGTGACACTTTATCGCTACTGTTAAACTCTTCGCAACGCACTTATAATAATTACGTCACTTCATTTCACATCGTATCATCGTATCACTGAAATATATACCTTGCCCAGTCTTATTAAATAACGCGCACTTATAATAATTAGCCTACGTCACTTTATTTCACTTCGTATCATCGTATCATGATAACAAGTATAGCTTGAAAAATGGACGGGTATTCTGTGATCGCTCCCAGCTTAATAAAACAAACCTGTGTTCGTGATGTAAAACTTGTATTGAAGGTATAGGAAATCTTCTGCTCTAAAGAAATAAATAAAACATTCCGGCGTAACTACAAGCATGTGTGCACATGAACTTCCTGGAATTCAATGCTTTCCTTTTCACTAATGTCTTTCCTAAAGTCAGAAATTAAACAAGAACATCAACATTGCTACGAAATAATTTGTTTAATTTTTGGCTTGTGAAACATACAACTTAAAGTAGTTGGTTACATACTTAGCAATTAATAGCAAAAGTGCTATTTATGTGGATAAAAACGATTGGAAATATCATAAGGAAGTATACTATCAAATGTATACTATAGCCATTGAACTCTGTAATTGAACTACTTTGTATTACATCAATCTCTCGAGTACTCGATCCTTGGCACGTCTGACAAGCCATATGCTCGAAAGTTTAGCATATAGGAAATTATATTAAAACGCAGCAAATACAGTAACGTCCGCCATAGATTAATGTGAAGCAAAATTAATACTAGCAGCCTTTCGTAAAACACATTCTGTCAAATGCCTAGTGTACGGGAAAATAGCATCAGCATGCAGGGTATATAAAAGAGTAACAATGGCTGTTATTTTGAACTTCAGGTTAATTTTAAGATTCAATTTTTGCGCGACAATCTTGTTCCGGTTGGCCACTACTCAAATTCAAGAGATTCCGCTTTAATACATTTCGTGCAATGCAGTGTCACTTAAACTAACTAGAATGATATCAACTTTAACGAAATGCTACCCACTTCCTCTTAGCATTCTTACCTTCAATAAAGTAACGATTTAATATTCCAGATTCATATCAAGATATTTGCTGTAAACTAATGTCCGACGAAGATTCTGATGCATATATATGTAATACAAACAAGGGGAATTTACCGGACGTCATAAGCCAATGCCACCCCGCTGTTAGTTTTGGAAAATTAATCCAATGAAAACATGGATCTCAATTTTCATCAATTGCATCATAACAGTCTGAAATATTGTTTAAATTAACATCCAACATTGATTACCTCTGCGCAAAGAAGAGCATAACATAAACTTAATGTGACCTGAAATTAATTTTAAAGCAATACCTCGCACGACAATTTAAGTAACTACTAGATAACTCGGGAGATTATGGCTATATTTACATTATTAAATTAATAAGCTATCGTTGGTAGAAATGCTACTACCTGAAAAATATAAGGACAATTTCGACGTTTCGAGCGACGTCTGGTGTTATTATAGATAGGCAAAAGAAGCATTGTCCGTTCCAATCCCCGCTAGTAATTCCAGACGAAGAGCTTAATTCGCTCGATACGTCGAAATTTTCTTTACATTTGGCAACGAACACTTGTTAATACTTTAAGGTTATATTTACATTGCATACTAATGACTAGCATTCTACAAAAGATAAACAAAGCCTCACTGTATTCTCTATATAGGGCATATCACAAATCAGTTCAATAAACTCACTGCGGATATCAATCGATAAAAAAATATATATTGTCGTGAAAATCACTTCCAAGAAATTAAAGAAATCATTCTTGGTGCATGTGATCTTGAGTTAGGGTAAGAGAGTCTATATCCTACTGAACACACGTGATCATTGTCTATGTCATTTTAATTTTTCTGTATCGAACTATAAGTATAGGATATTACACGCGATCTGCCTGAAAATAACCTTAGCTCAAATGTCCATTTTATATCATGCGAACTACCGAAAATAGCCAAGGTAAACCGAATAGATATTTAAACCATATTCATTATCGGCTAGGATAATTGTACAAATAAAGTTTTGGACGTTTTTTCGACCTTTGTATTAGTTTTTTAAAATAATTTTTCACAATAATGTTAGTAGTATAGTATGTGGTTTTCGGGCCGGATTTTTGAGGAGGAGGAGTGAGGAGGAGGAGTGAGGAGGAGGAGTGAGGAGGAGGAGTGAGGAGAAATGAGGAGGAGGAGTGAGGAGAAATGAAGAGGAGGAGTGAGGAGAAATGAGGAGGAGGAGTGAGGAGGAGGAGTGAGGAGAAATGAGGAGGATGAGTGAGGAGGAGTGAGGAGTGAGGAGGAGTAGTGACGTCACTCATTAACATACGTCATAATTGTATGCAATGACGTCACGCGGGCGAGCTTAAACACGATCGGGCGAAACTTGCTGACTACGCATTTTTTAGCGTCCCCCACGTTTATGATACAATGGAGGGATTAGGATTGGCTTACTATGATTGGTTGTTTGATTTAACGAGCGTCTGTATAAAATCGACAAGCGTCTTGTAACAAGCATCGTCTATATTTTGACAACGCTCTTACTGGAGGTCTTTTGGCAAGCTGCTGAATTTCATCTTGTTGGTAGAATTAACGTTTATTGGTTGTTGGAAGATAAAGTTTTTTGAGGGAAAACATGGCACAGCAACATCGGGAAAACATGCAGTAAGGTGACTTTGCTTATTTACAGCTAAGTATTTGAGGCAAACCTAGAAGTATTTTTTGTGTGTATTTTCAGAAGAGATCAATTCATGGCCGATCTCGAGAATGATGAGGTCAATCGTCAACTTTGTGCCATTACAACAGACGAAATGTTCGAGTGCTGGTCGCCAGAGACGCAAGAGCAGATTCTGGCTGAATGGGACGACTGGCAAGAAGAATCGGAGAAGTCGGGGTTATGTTGTGATGAATGTGGTAAGACGTTTAAACGGGCAGGTAATCTGAAACGGCACAAGAAAACTCACAGCGAGAAAGAATACGAGTGTTCGCGTTGCCACAAGAAATTTGACCGAATGGTATGTAGAGTTTGTATTGATATATAAACTATAACAAGTATATGTATAGACATTGTGTAATACGTGTAAATATACGCTGTTTGCTAATATTATACTCCATATTCTTTTAAGGACAATCTGAAACGTCACTTGAAAACTCACAGCGAGAATGAATACGAGTGTTCGCGTTGTGACAAGAAATTTGAGTAGTGAAAGACCCCCATATGGCGGATTTTATAATGAGCTTTCAAAATCTATGACGTCACTTTGTTCGGCTAACAATCTGGCGGATTTTATAATGAGCTTGCAAAATCTGTAACGCCAGGTAGCGCGACCAATTAACGCGGGCAGGCCTGGGCCAACTGTGACAGGTAGCGCGACCAATTAACGCGGGCAGGCCTGGTGTATTTTGATTCGGGTGATTAAAACCTGCTCTTGCGATAGCTCAGTTGGTAGAGCGGAGGACTGTAGTTCCTTAGGTCGTTGGTTCAAGCCCAGCTCGCAAGATTTAAAAACAGGCGTTCTTTTTCGCGGATAAATGTATATGTATTTCGGAGCCTAATTCAAAATAACCGGAAACTTTGAAAGCTTACAGCGATGCATATAATCTAAATAGCTCGGAGTTTGGCTCGAAGCCGGTCCGTTCGAAGCATAGTCTTTAGTTGACAACGCTTGGTTCATGTCTACACGGTAAAGTTACTACCTCTTCGACTACGAAAAATGGTACATTTTGATTCTGTGGGAAAAAAACTTTAGAACAGTTGTAATTTATTTTGTAATAAAAAATTAATTAAACGTGCGGTTGCTATATACGTTGTTATGTGTTGTCGGTCATTAGCGGCGCTTTGGTGCATGCATATATTAATGTACGACATAGTTGTACTCAGGCGGGCGGGTTGCGCGGATAGGAAAGATCGGGCTTTGCGGGCAAAAATTTACACAAGATTTCAGTTTTAAAATTGCATTTATTTCTTCAAAACGTTTTACAAAATTTAGTACGGTCTACTTCTCAGAGCATAACGTTTAGGTGTTTTTGTTATTTTTAAAGAGTTCTCATATTCTTGTCTATCTTCAGGTGATAATCGTGCAACATCTTCATGTTTCATTGGAATATATTTCGGTCTTTCGTTTAGTAAAAAACGTTCATAACGCTCTATTTCCTTCGGTTTCATCATAGCCAGATCACTTTCTTTCCAATCTGCAGAATCTACCCAATTGTGAAAAACGTTGTGCCTGAGTTTTGGTCGTTCCTTTTCTGTTTGTGGTGGTGTAAGGAAATTAGGTTTAGGAGTAGCAGGTATTGGTGATGCTATCTCAACAAATTCATTGGGTTGTGGTATTTCTGCAGGCACTAATGGAGTTCTCTGAACAGGAGCTTGAGCCGGGACATCCATCTTATTTTTGAATGTCAGAAACCGGTTTAGCTGATCAGAGTATAACTTGCTTTTTTCCACTGCGCTCAGCTGTGGCGCTTCTATGATTTCTTTCATTCTCTGTTCGGCATCATACATTGCATTTAATTGTGGTGCTTGTTGATACGACTGTTTTTGTATAAACTTTGCAATCTCGCCGGGAAGTACGTTGGTCTGGATTCGTTGTTGGTCGTCTGTTGTTGGCTTTAAATCCAACATCAAGTAGCCGTGAGGTCGGCTCGTGGCATCTTCATAACTCTTCATAAATTCTTGTACTTTACCAGGATCTACCTGCCTTGCAAGCATAGAAATTTGCTGTTTATCTCTTGGTGACTTGAACAACACGATATAATGAGCATTAAGGCTGATATTCCTCATTTCTTTGCCTTGGTGAAATATATTTTGGACAATATAGATAATGGACAAATTACGGTGATGGCTTCCTTTTAAAAAAAGATCACCAATACGTTTGTCTTTACTAGATTGTGCCATGAGATCGTCCAGTACGATCAAATTCCGTTGCGATACATCCAAGTAATCTGCGTTGTCGATGTTTTCGGGGATGCCTTTATTAAACTCGATTTCGGGAATCGCCCTCAACATATCAAAATAGGAGGGTTGCCATTGACCATAACACCATACGTTGAGGAGCAAGACTTATGGTCGTCTGAGCATTCTCCAAGAGAGATTTTACCCATACAGTTTTGCCACTTTGTGTACACCCCGCCACGATGCACGTAAAAGGATGCTGCATAACACTGGACCTATTGCCAATTACACTTAACCTTCTTTCATCTGTACTGGTGCTATGCATCTGTTTTTTGTGGCGTGAACGGTTACCAGGTGTTGAAAACGGTCTTCCACAGACTTCGCAGGGATAAGACATGTTCACAGGTTCACAATCAAATGTAAAATGAATTCGAAGTTTGTGTACCGTTACATAAATAGTATTATGTGGTCAAACCAGCATAAATAATCCTATGATATTCCAAGATACTGTATGATATCCTAAGATATTGATATCCTAAGATATTGATATCCTAAGATATTGATATCCTAAAATAATGATATCCTAGGATAATGATATCCTAAGATATTGATATCCTAAGATATTGACATCCTAAGATATTGATATCCTAAGATATTGACATCCTAAGATACTGATATCCTAAGATACTGATATCCTAAGATACTGATATCCTAAGATACTGATATCCTAAGATACTGATATCCTAAGATACTGATATCCTAAGATACTGATATCCTAAGATATTGATATCCTAAGATAATGATATCCTAAGATATTGATATCCTAATTAAGATAATAATATCCTAAGATACTGATATCCTAAGATACTGATATCCTAAGATATTGATATCCTAAGATACTGATATCCTAAGACATTGATATCCTAATATACTGATATCCTAAGATATTGATATCCTAAGATACTGATATCCTAAGATATTGATATCCTAAGATATTGATATCCTAAGATATTGATATCCTAAGATATTGATATCCTAAGATACTGATATCCTGAGATATTGATATCCTAAGATACTGATATCCTAAGATACTGATATCCTAAGATATTGATATCCTAAGATACTGATATCCTAAGATACTGATATCCTAAGATAGTGATATCCTAAGATATTGATATCCTAAGATACTGATATCATAAGATACTGACATCCTAAGATACTGATATCCTAAGATATTGATATCCTAAGATATTGATATCCTAAGATACTGATATCCTAAGATATTGATATCCTAAGATACTGATATCCTAAGATATTGATATCCTACGATACTGATATCCCAAGATATTGATATCCTAAGATACTGATATCCTAAGATACTGATATCCTAAGATACTGATATCCTAAGATACTGATATCCTAAGATATTGATATCCTAAGATATTGATATCATAAGATACTGATATCATAAGATATTGATATCCTAAGATACTGATATCCTAAGATACTGATATCCTAAGATATTGATATCCTAAGATATTGATATCCTAAGATATTGATATCCTAAGATACTGATATCCTAAGATACTGATATCCTAAGATATTGATATCCTAAGATATTGATATCCTAAGATACTGATATCATAAGATACTGATATCCTAAGATATTGATATCCTAAGATACTGATATCCTAAGATATTGATATCCTAAGATATTGATATCCTAAAATACTCATGATATCCTAAGATACTCATGATATCCTAAGATACTGATATCCTAAAATACTGATATCCTGAGATATTGATATCCTAAGATACTATTTTCGTTAATATATAAATATGTTATTTCCAACTAAATCTTCATTCCGTCGCTGACCGCCGAACAGAGATGACTAGCAGTTATATCAAACACAGACCGTTTGTGGAGCTCTTGTGTATTTCTCATCCAATTCAACAGCAAGCTTTGTTGAATTCTGCATCTCATGAACAGATTCGCTTTCTATGTAATTGCTTGGAAAACTTTACATATCCTAAAGGAACATTGAACAAACTTGGACCATTTAGAGATGACCTCGCTGACTTGGCGGACAGCAGTAGGAGTTTTAGAAAGAAAAGGAAAATTCTTGTTCAGCGCGGGAGTGGTTTTCTAGGGTTGGTACTTGCGCCACTTTTAGAGGGGCTTGCAGAATTAGTATAAAACAATCATCATTAATTCACATCGTCATTCCAACCATGAACAGCAAGGAAAGATCATCTCCGAGACATTGGCGTGTTGAAGATATACTTGGACACTTAAACGATAATGTTGATAAAAACAATGCGGAAGAACTTCTTCACTGCATTCTGACATCCACGGATATTCTCACATGGAATCTTCAAGGGGAAATTGTATACAAAGGACAGAATATACGTGGAACAAATATTGTAGATCTTTTGCAATATACTGTTTTACCATATAATACTGAAATTCCGGAACCGGCTGGACTGAATATATTTCTCAAAGGTCTTGCAAAATTGGAAATTGATAAAAGCCTAATCGTAAATGGGCGTGTCCTTACAATGCTAGCCCAGTGGTCCCACCAGGATAGACAGTCTGACAAATCCGAGGATGAGTCTGAAGACATGGACACAGTTTGTAACGGTTGTAACAAAGATCTAGACATCTCCCATTTGGCCACATGTCCTATATGCACATGGACAGACTTTTATCCAAATTGTAAGAGGTGTCACTGTACGATCTGTGATTTTCGACTGTCCGAAGGAAATTTCACGCATGTAATCGCCTGTTGCCAACATTGTCATTGTGACGAAATTATGGATGTTAGTACGGATAAAAGACTTTTTTACCATAAAATAGGCGAACAAAGTGATATGTGACCAGTTTACTGTGTGAATTTGAACTGAACACATCAACATGGTGAGAGGTACGCTTGTTGTAGACACAAAACTATTGAAAGACCATTTCTTGAGACAGCAGCGTGGTGGGAATATCGCTGGGTTTTATGGTGCACGTATGCAAAGGGGATATGGGATCGGAAGCATTTTCAAGAGCCTTGCAAGATATGCTATCCCTCTATTCAAACAAGGAGCTAAAGTTGTTGGCAAAAGAGCATTACAAGCAGCCACAGAAGTTGGTCAAGATGTACTTCAAGGAAAAAATGTAAGAGAATCTGTAAAGGCTCACAGAGGGAAAGTTGTTAAAGACTTTGTTGAGCAAGGAGCAAGGACTTTTCTGCGTCAAACAGGACATGGAAGCAAAAGAAGGCGAAGTCAACGCAGCAATCTATCATCAGTCAAGAAACAAAAACTGGAAGAAGATCCAAGACGTCTCAAATGGATTAGGAAAGATGAAAGCGACTGTGATGATGAAAGCAGCCACGACGATGAATCTGAAAGCGAAACATCTCAAACAAGTGACGATTAGAAACATAAAAATAACAAAAACACCTGAACGTTATGCTCTGAGAAGTAGATTGTACTAAATTTTGTAAAACGTTTTGAAGAAATAAATGCAATTTTAAAACTGAAATCTTGTGTAAATTTTTGCCCGCAAAGCCCGATCTTTCCTATCCGCGCAACCCGCCCGCCTGAGTACAACTATGTCGTACATTAATATATGCATGCACCCAAGCGCCGCTAATGACCGACAATACATAACAACGTATATAGCAACAGCACATTTGAGTTAATTTTTTATGACAAAATATATTACAACTGTTCTAAAAGTTTTTTCCCACAGAATCAAAATGTACCATTTTTCGTAGTCGAAGAGGTAGTAACTTTACCGTGTATACATGAACCAAGCGTTGTCAACTAAAGACTATGCTTCGAACGGACCGGCTTCGAGCCAAATTCCGAGCTATTTAGATTATATGCTTCGCTGTAAGCTTTCAAAGTTTCCGGTTATTTTGAATTAGGCTCCGAAATACATATACATTTTTCCGCGAAAAAGAACGCCTGTTTTTAAATCTTGCGAGCTGGGCTTGAACCAACGACCTAAGGAACTACAGTCCTCCGCTCTACCAGCTGAGCTATCGCAAGAGCAGGTTTTAATCACCCGAAAAAAAAAAAAACAATCTAGACCAGGCCTGCCCGCGTTAATTGGTCGCCTGCCACATTTGGCCCAGACCTGCCCGCGTTAATTGGTCGCGCTACCTGTCACAGTTGGCCCAGGCTTGCCCGCGTTAATTGGTCGCGCTACCTGGCACAGTAGGCCTGCCCGCGTTAATTGGTCGCGCTACCTGGCACAGTTGGCCGAAGGTTAGGGTTAGGGCCTGCAAAGTTACGTCATAAATTTTGCATACTAATTACTTCCGTCCCCAGATGGGGGTCTTTCACTACTAATCTAAGCAGTAAAAAACCCCAAAGGAAACCAATTTTTTCTAACCATCAATTTATTCAAAAATCCTCAAGACCTTCAAAACATAAAGGAACTACGACGCAGGCTATTCATCTAATGACTAAATTGATTAAACTGAGGGTTTTTTTTACCATGAAGTTATTTCACATTTCTTCTTAGAATGAGACAAATGTTACACATACTTATGGGACTTATTACGCTTACTCCCTGGATCTGAGATGACTTGCAAATATATATATATATATATATATATATATATATATATATATATATATATATATATATATATATATATATATATATATATATATATATATAATACATATAAGTACAGTTTGTGAGAAGATTTCTACGTATGTTTGTTACGATACCGACAAAAAATTACTTGCAAATTCAGCACGCTTTTCTTCATTGTATTTCTAGGCTTACATCATCTAATATAACTGCTACTGCAAATTTGGATTATCAACCAATTAATCAAGTAATTACGTTTACTGTTGGAAACCCACTTCAAGAAGTTTTTATTACCATCAATGAGGATACTTTGGTTGAAGGAACTGAGACGTTTCGAGTGACTTTAACCAGTACTGATGCAGACGTTATAGATCCAACGCTTACTGTTACCATCACTGATGACGATTGTAAGTAGTTCATGTGTATGTTTTTATGTGCTTTCGTTTTGCATGATATGAATGTTGATGATGGTGTTGGTTGTTATGGTGGTTTGTTGGTGATGGTGATGGTGGTGTTGGTTGTTAACTTGTTATGGTGGTTGTGTTGGTGACGATGGTGGTGCTGGCTGTTGTGGTGGTTAAACTGGTTATGTTGGTGATGGTGGTGGTATTGGCTGTTATGGTGGTTGTGTTGGTGACGATGGTGGTGGTGGTGGTGTTGCTTGTTATGGTGGTTATTGTTGGTGATGCTGATGGTGGTGGTTGTTATGGTGGTTTGTTGGTGATGATGGTGGTGTTGGTTGTTAGCTTATTATGGTGGTTGTGTTAGTGACGATGGTGGTGATTGGTGTTGGTTGTTATGGTGGTGATGGTGGTGATTTGTTGGTGATGATGGTGGTGTTGGTTGTTAACTTGTTATGATGGTTGTGTTAGTGACGACGGTGGTGGTGGTGTTGGTTGTTTTGGTGGTTATGTTGGTGGTGGTTGTTATAGTGGTTATGTTGGTGATGATGGTGGTGTTGATGTTGGTTGTTATGGTGGTTATGTTGGTGATGGTGGTGGTGGTTGTTATGGTGGTTGTGTTAGTGACAATGGTGGTGGTGGTGTTGATTTTTATGGTGGTTATGTTGGTGATGATGATGGTGTTGGTTGTTATGTTGGTGATGGTGGTGGTTGTGTTAGTGACAATGGTGGTGGTGGTGTTGATTTTTATGGTGGTTATGTTGGTGATGATGATGGTGTTGGTTGTTATGTTGGTGATGGTGGTGGCGGTTGTGTTAGTGACAATGGTGGTGGTGGTGTTGATTTTTATGGTGGTTATGTTGGTGATGATGATGGTGTTGGTTGTTATGGTGGTGGCGTTTGTGTTAGTGACAATGGTGGTGGTGGTGTTGATTTTTATGTTGGTGATGTTGGTGATGATGATGGTGGTGGTGTTGGTTGTTATGGTGGTAGGGATGCAACCTGAAAAATACCAGGAGAATGTTGACGTTTCGGGCGAAGGTCTTCGTCTGGAGTCACTAGGGCTGGTATATTGGTTGATATTGGCTTCAATACAATTGTTGTTTGTGTTATTGGTGGTGTAGTGTTAGTCATTAAAATGGTCTTTATTACCAATGGAACTAATAGCATATATGTTATTGTTATTTCAGTTGTAGGAATTGCGTTTCAGAACGTTGCACAAGATGTACCTGAAACCCAAAGTAGTGTACTTATTCCCATTGTTTTAACTGGTAACCGTGCAGTTCCTATAACTTTCGCGTAAGTTGTTGTATTATCAGCTTCAATAAAACAATATATCTTTTTGCTTGTGCAAAACACCAAGTATATTAATTTTATTATTGCAAAAAGTTCGATAAAGATCCGGGCTTGCATGCGGATCTAAAGCTTTGCAATATTAGATGTACGGTGTTTTCCACCAACAGAGAGATTTAATTTTAATATGATTTAAATTTGTATTTTCGATAAACCCATTTATTACTGAGAGCGTCGGTAGCAGAGGAGCAATTTTTATTTAAGCACATTTTTATCTTTCCGATTTGCCTTGAGGCAATTTTTGGAACTATAGTTCTTACGAACTTATTATGGAACATACTACTTAATTAATTATTAGTTAATTATTCCTAGATACAGGACCCTTATTGATAGCAGTGTATTTTTCACTGAAAAGATTTATGTAAATCCTGTTTAAATAAAGTCTCTAACTAACTAAGTTGGTTAAATGTTTTTATATATATTTACTTCATCAATATATTTCCTTTAGGATCGATACTGTATCAGTGAGTGCGACTCAAGGCACAGACTATGTGTGGAGTCGACAATCAGTAACAATTAATCCCAATGATCCTTCAACATATATTGCAAGCATACCAATTACCAATGACAACATTGTGGAAGGTGATGAATTATTCCGAGTACTTATTGATGCTTCGAATGCTCTCGTTACTAATAATGGTGCATTCCTAACAGTGACTATAAAGGATGACGACAGTAAGTTGTATTAATTTGTGTTGTGTTGGAAAAATAGGGGTTTTTTGGTAGTGTAACTCAAGAGTTGGATAAAATTTCCCATTCCACGTCCGAAAACACAACTCGTACTCTACTCTACTCTGGACTCTACTCCTAACTAACCCAGGGGCTTGGGATGACTCGATAGTCGATATAATTAACACATTCTTGTATTAATATCCAATGACAATTTATTTTTCAGCTGCCAATGTAAGGTTCTCTCAGAGTACTTACGTCTTTGGGGAGAATGTGAACGTAGGTACTGTGACCATTGAAATTGATCGTAACTTGGAAACAACTGCAACTGTAACGTAAGTTTGAGATATTTATTTTTGCTCACTGCTTATCGTCTACCCTATCGATCATGAGCGATTCTTGTTATAAAAATCCATATAATAGTGCGTTTGCTGTTTAACAATTAGTTACCGCTTTTCACCATTTTAAAGGCATACATTCATGTGGAGGTTGTATAACTACATGAAAAATATGAGCAAAACTTTGATCGACGTTTTGAGTGAAGGCCCTTTGCTGACGATGAGGCTTCGCTCGAAACGTCGACGTTTTGCTTATATCTTTCATGTAGTAGTGTATCCTTCACGCTGCAGCTGTCTGTTATCGTCTGTCCTACACTGGCACCGACCATTTAAATTTTATCAAGCTGTATTTGACTTGACAGGTTTTTTCTTTTCAGCGTTTCTTCAACAACAAATACAGCCACATCTGGGGTGGATTTTGTCGCTATCGTAAGTCGGCAAGTGATTTTTACATCTGGCGATACGTCGAAGCAATTAACAGTGAGAATTCTGGACGATAATATTGTCGAGGCAAATGAAGTGCTTAGTTTAAGTTTGACAACGGGAACAGGTTCCCCTCTAGCTGTTGGTACACCAGGCACTGCACTGATCACCATTAACGATGATGATGGTATGTATCGTATCTATTTTAATTGTGTCGTAATATATCTTCATCAAGCATTCCTCATATATACAGTGTCAGTGTGTATCGAAGAATAATTAACTTTGGCATGTTATCGCATGCATGGAATATTTAGAATATAGAATTACTGGTATAGATTATCGATTTACTAAAAGATCAGGGGTCGGTTGTACGAAGGCAGAATATCGCTATCTATACCGGATAGTGATTTTTTCAACCGTTGCAAAATGCTTAAAAAGCTATAAATTACGGATATAGACCTTACAATTAATAAAAAGGAACTTTAATTTATATATTATAAAGTTTAGTGTAGGTTATACAAATTAACGAGTTATTTTAGGAAGCTTGAAAAATCGCTATCGGTGGGTAGTGCTACATGTATATCTGGCCCGGCTGATAGTGCTATATGCGGCCTTCGTACAACCTGCCCCATAGGCTATTAGCTAGTTTCAAATGACAATCTTTTGTATCATTGCAACTAAAAAGGCCAAATACAACCTGATTTAAAGTGGCTGGACGAAATTTTGTCTGTATAAGTCTGAGTATTGAAAATTTGAAATTATTGTCATTTCGGGTATTTGTATAAATAAGGATTATGGTATGTTATGGTGCTAACATCTATGTGTTATTTTTTAAGTTTCCGTATAAATTTAAAGATGATTTCATTCGCGATTTGACAACTAAATTTAGAAACATTTTGGCAGACTGAACTAGCAATTCCAAACGTTTTCATAATAAGCAACCAGCATTTGGGAAAGTATTGGAAAATTAAAAGTTAATTGTCAAGAAAATCTTCTAAAATTTATTTTTTTGTCGTTATTTTACATAAATTATCAGTGGTGATCAATATTTATCATTACCAAATTTTGAAAAACTGAGTTTTAAAGCAAAGATTATAGCATGTTGTTTTTCAACATTCTGTTCCCGTTCTGTTCTCTCGGATTTCGATGTAAGTGAATTTACTGCTAAATCGAAATATGATGTCTTATGCTCAAGGGAAGACATTACATCTAAATGATAACGATTCAAACATTAATCATCCGTCGCCAGGATTGTCACAATTCAATGTCACATTTTTTAGAGTAATATCGTATTTAATTGTTTTTTATATGTTTGTATTTTAGTGGCATCCGTGGAGATGGACTCTATTTCGTACACGTATAGCGAGAATGATGCTACAGCGGTGGTGGAAGCGAAGTTGAATGCCCTTGCCCCAATTGCACGACCACTGTCATTCAGGTAAGATTATCGAATAACTTGACGTTGTATTATAGTACAGCTGGCCTCTGTAGCCCAGTTGGTTAGAGCGCTGCTCCGGAATCGCAGGGCCGTAGGTTCGATTCCTACCAGAGGACCTTGTGCTGCATTTTTCGCAGTCGTTCCTGGTTAGGTCTTAAAATGTATATATTCTCACTTGGATTACAAACCCTAACATCCTAATATTAATTCCACCAAGAGAAGTGCAAGAACTAAGTTATTCAAGTCCACCTTATCACAACCCGCACACCCGATTATCTATATATACATGAACTTACGGTTACAGCTCAACAGCTGGCCTCTGTAGCTCAGTTGGTTAGAGCGCTGCTCCGGAATCGCAGGGCCGTAGGTTCGATTCCTACCAGAGGACCTGGCCTTGTGCTGCATTTTTTGCAGTCGTTACTGGTTAGGTCTTAAAATGTATATATTCTCACTTGGATTACAAACCCTAACATCCTAATATTAATTCCACCAAGTGAAGTGCAAGAACTAAGTTATTAAGGAAAATGTTTCGAATGATTTGTTTAATTGAGCTTTTGAATCCTGCCAAGGAGTAATAAAATCAAACGTACTTGTGTGTCATCTACGCATGTATGTTAATTCGATTTTTTAGATGCCCCCTAATTGTTTCTGGTAGCACATGTGTTTCAAAGTTTATCTGTACTTATAATACGAAAAAATGACCATTCATGCATTATTCTTTTCTACGTGCGATATTATACAAATAATGAATATTTTTTCGTGCAATGGTAAGAACATTTTTATGAGGTGAAAGATGGAATGTTCCATTCAACGAGGCGACAGCCGAGTTATGGAACATTCCATCTTTCACCGAATGAAAATATTCTTACCATTGCACGAATAAACATTCATTATTTGTATAATATAATACCAAAATAAACTAATAGATTCGTACGAGAAGCATTTGACGGATGCGATTTATCGAAAACACAAAGAGTGCAATGGAATAAAACGTATAGTACATACGGAATGGAACGTATTCCATTGCAGTCTTGGGAAATGGAATTTTCTATTCAATATCACGTGACCATAAACAGCCAATTAAACGATTAGAATTCAATAAGGTATTATATAATAATTAATTAATGAACATGAAAAGATGTCTCAATTCTGAATGGCTGAGAGTAGTGCGATCGTAATTACAGGTAAACTACGTCAGGCGTTCTTCTTTTGAGTTCCTAACTTGATTGCAATTTTCCTTATTACGTTTGCTTATTACATTTGCAAAAACTCAATTTCCAATGCAGAGAGTCTTCCTGTTAAATTTTCATAACTTCCTGTTTTAATTTCCTGACTTCCTGCTGTGTTCTGAGCGTTGCCATTGGTGGATAATTTTGGTTAGCCAATTACAATGCACATAACAGAACATAATCCCTTACCAGCAGACAATTTTAAGAAATATAAGGAAAAACATACTCCGTATAATAACGCCATCTTGTAAACTCAAGATATGAGTTATTTAAAGAAAACAAGATACAAATTATGGTGGTGATATTTCGAGTCTTTGGTTTGACAATGACCTTGAAATAGAGTCGATATATCACCACCATAATTTGTGTCTTGTTTTCTTTAAATAACTCATATCGTGATGGCAGAACAGGAAGTATGAATTTGTAACAGGAAGTTTAAATCATTTCTAAGAGGAAGTTAAGAACTTTTAAAAGGAACTGATGAAAATTTAATCGGCGTACTTGCACACGAAATCCCTATCGAGGCTAACTGAGCGAGCACAATACAATATTAGTATTAATTGTACCATGTTTAGGACAACTTATAGGTCGCTTTTGACTCCTTTGGATTACAGTGTATAAAACATTTTTGTATAGAAAGATTAATAATTCAGTAATTACAGCACTATATTATTCTTTTTTTACAATATTAAATTTGTGAAATGTTCTTTTAGAATATTTACTGAAAATGGCACAGCGTATTCTCCCCGAGATTTCACTCATTTGGACCAGATTGGAGTATTTAATCCAGGGGTTGGAAATGATGCTAAAGTTTCCTTTTCAATCGTCATTTCTAATGATGTTGTGGTAGAGAATACAGAATCTTTCTTCGTACAGTTGGCTGAAATAAATTCTGCTCTACAAATAGTTAATCCTAACAGATCAACTGTATTCATCCAGGACAATGATGGTGAGTTTAAGTGATCCAATTGTTCTATGGGGAACGAGCTTTGACACATTGTTTAAAATAATATTACTTGTGCTCACTAATTTTTTTTTATCTACTTAAAGCTTTTGAGGCTCAGTTCACCCATGGTGATCTTACAGTAAACGAAGAAGCTGGATCAGTACAGATTTCTGTTCGGCTAAATGGACAACATGAGCGAGAAGTTACGATTAGGTAAGAATTGACCATTAAGCTGGCCACAGTCGGTAAACCGTTGGTTGTTAATTCTTTGGCGTGATTTCTTCATTTTGCTTAGGAATCTGTCTCATTGAATACGCTGTGTTTCATTTTTCAGTGAAAAAGCAATACGTTATTTTTTGTGACACGTGTGTTCTCTACTAACATCGTTTAATTAAATATACTTCGAAATACAGGTTAACAACTACTCAGATCACCGCAACTGCTGGTGCAGATTATGAAAATCAAGTTGTAGACCTGCAGTTCTCTCCTGGAGATTCTCTTGAAGCTTTGGATATCCGGATATTGGATGATCTAGTTATTGAAGGAACAGAAACGTTCCGGGTTACAATCAGTTCAAATGATGCGCAAGTCAGAATCGTGGATCCACCAAGCATTACAGTTACGATCATTGACACAGATGGTATGTTATTGGATTTAAACATATATATTAGAGAGGTTCAGATTTGACTTCTACTTCCGCTACCATTAACCAATCAGATGTGTTTGATATATCCAATTAACCAATCAGGTATGTATTAAGCCAATGAGAGGTAGTAGTAGCGGTAGTTGAAGTCAAATCTGATTCTCTCTAATAACCAGATGGCTTCGGATGAGTTAGACGGAGAAGATTTGCTAAAATTTATGATTTTTTGATATATGTAATAATTGGCTCATTCTAAGAAGAAGAATGAATCTTCGTCTCGATCAACCTATTCACTTGTCAACCTTCTCTGATGTGATGTCATTAGCATTTTCCTTTGCTTTTTACTCTGTTGATCAAAATGCAATAAAAAATCGTATTTGCGGTTTTGGCACAGGCTAATTTCAAAGTTCAGACCTGATCAATTTATTTTATATGTGTTTGTTCTATTCGTGCTATGTATTTACGTGGCTAAATAAATTACAGTCGATTTCAACTTACTTTTCACTCAAATGTTCCGAACTTCGCAAATTCGTTGCCAAGTTCAAAAGTTCATCTTGAAATTCACAAACACGTTTGTAAACTGGGCATTTGATTGGCTGGTTTGATTTAATAGCCAATCAGAGGCTTTGTTTACAAACCTGTTTGTGAATTTCATTATGAACTTTTGAACTTGGCAACGAATTTGCGATCGAAGTTCGGAACGAAGTTCGGAACATTTGAGTGAAAAGTAAGTTGAAATCGACTGTAAAACAAAGTGGAATTATACCTGATATTAAATTAGATTTCATACTAGCTAAATTTGTTAGATTGTGCAGTATTTATCCATATAGCCTCTAATTTCTATAACACAATTATCATTGTGTTTTACGTATTCCGTATTTTGTTTCTATTCTGTTTCTATTCATCGTGTTAATGAAGTTCATGCGTATGATACGCGGAATGCGAACTTCTATTTCGTTCCAAGGCGTAATTTTTTAAAGTTCACTCAGTCACGATATTCGTAATTCTTCATCTGTTGTAGACAAAGATTAAAATAATATCTATTAAACTTATAGCTTTTCTGTCTTTCCTCCATTTTGCTTCATCTTACTGAACTTAGTTAATAGCGGCTTATTGACCGAGCGTGAGGTCTGTACTGTGAAATATCAGACCGAGGTTTTTCAGTATGCAAAAAACAGAGGTCTGATATTTCACAGTACAGACCGAACAAGCGAGGTCAATAATTGGTTTATTATATGGCTGAACTGAGTTATCGTCAGTTTCACTGGGTAACAATATACGGTAGGCATGCATGCTCAATCAAAAACAATTTGGTTGTTTGAAATTTTTATCTGTACATTTTAATGACACACAATTGGAAAATTAAAAAACAAAAATTCAGTTTTCTGTTTGCAAAGCAAAAATTTCCGATAAACGACATCCGGGACACCGGTCCAGATACGGAAAATACGGACATGGGTTTTTACGGATATGGGTTTTTACGGACCGCTTAAGCGTCAACCAATCAGAATAGAGAATTTTGAAAAGCCATATAATAATAGTGTGTATTTACCTCTTGAATATTTTATTTAAATCGCCTTTCCGGTTTTATCAGATTGCAAATAGATAGCCCAAAATTTATGAGCCGTGTGGTTTCTCTTGGGCTTCCTTGCCAGTTTTTTATTTTTATATATATTTGTACTATTCGTGCTATGTATTTATGTGGCTAAATAAATTGACTTGACTTGTTTCCGTGTTTTATTCTGTATAGTGGCAACGGTTTCGTTCAATCAAACCGAATACCGTGTGAGTGAAGATGTAGGAAGTTCCGCTCTTTGGGTGGAATTAAAGAACGACTTGCAACTTAACGCAGAAGTGAAGTAAGTATATGTAATGTATGCAATAAAATAGCAGTTAAGAAGTAGTAATTATAAAGTACGTATTTAACTCATAGGCGTACAAGAGGATAAGAATTATGGGGAAACGACAAAATTTGCCCGATCTTATGATTTAACCTGTTGATGAGTTTTCATAAGGGTTAGGGAGCAGCGGATAGTTGCGAACTTCACAAATATTGACACTTAAAGGATCAGTAAATAAACTAAAACAATTAAGACCATTGCATGCGTTTAATAAAAATAATGAAAAGTTTAACATACGTGTTATTCATGATGATAATGTAGAGAACGAATAAAGTTTCTATGGTTTGATAAATGCTGATCGTACAGTACAACTGGTTAAAGTATGCATCGAGGATAATGATAGTGAGATGTTTACACGATAAATTGCCTGAAAATATCTTTCCAAGCATATAATTGCTTCATTCCCAAATGATTCCCAATTTACATTCCCGATTTATATCTTAACAACCACAATTTCTTATCCTTACTGTCCTAATCTGAATCTTGACACTATTTTTGACCTAATCCTTACCCTAATCCCTGTTCTCTTATCCTAACCCAATTTTAGTCTTAATATTAACTCTAATCCTCACCTCAAACTCTAATTATAGCCCTTACCCTATAGCTGTTGATGAGTTTAAACGGTTACGGAGCAGCGCGGATAGTTGCGAATAGTTGACACTAAAAGGATCAGTAAATATACTAAAACAAGACTATTTCGTTTAATAAAAATAGTAAAAAGTTTAATTAACATACGTGTTTCGCTCTGATAATTTTCCGTTGTACTATTGGCAAGTTTTCTTTTGTTTTAGTGTTCAGGTTTATAACTTCCCGGATACTGCTAAAAGCCCAGAAGACTATACATTTGCAAATACTTTAACCATACTGACTTTCCGCGGTGGACAAACAAAACTTCTACCAATTTATTATAATGTTATTGATGATAATAATGTGGAGAACGAAGAAAGTTTCTATGGTTTGATAAATGCTGATGGTGTGACTGTACGAGCGGAGGAACCGCTGTTGGTTAAAGCATACATCGAGGATAATGATGGTGAGATATTTACACGATGAATTGCCTGAAAATATCTTTCCAACCATATAATTGCTTCATTCCCAAATGGTTCCCAATTTACATTCCCGATTTGTAACTTAACAACCACAATTTCGTATCCTTACTTTCTAATCCTTACTATCCTAATCCGAATCTTAACACTAATCCAGCACTAATCTTAACTTAATCCTTACCCTAATCCCTATACATGTACCATTATCTAATCTAATTGTATTCTTAATCTAGACTCACCTCAAACTCTAATTCTAGCCCTTACCTTGATACTTATCATAACATAATAACGTGCACTGTAGTGTTATTATGAGGAACTAAATGTTGTTCCCTATCCTTTTCCCATACATTACACCTTATACAACTGGACTCTGTTGCTCAGTAGAGTTGGAGCGCTTCACCGCAATCGCAGGACCGCACGCAGGTTCAATTCCTGCTAGAGTAGAGGGCCGATTATGTTGGATCAGGGCAGATGGTTGTACAGTACATCCAAAAATGTATAAAATTCACATTCAAAATTTCCATCTATACTTAAAGCCATTAACATGTTATTATGAGGTCATTTCGAGACATTTGTATTTAAGATCAACATAGATTTCATTGTCAGAATCAGGTTTGCCTGAAGAATATGTAGGGTACTGATAAGGAACACGTTCGAGGCTGAATATTTTCTGTATTCAAATTGGGAGAACTAATGCGGAAAGTAGGGCAACTAATGCATTAGTCATTATAATAAAATAAAACTTTGCCATAACAATTCTTAATCAAGAACCATAAATTTCATAAATTTTTTTATAATATAGCATTTGTAAATTCTGAATGCTGATTGGCTAAGAGCCGTGTTGATATAACTCAATGTCAACACGGGAAATTTTCCGCCGCTTGTAAACACGGAAATTTTGCTTATCCTTCGGGCTTTTGACATTGCTATATTATAAAAAAGATATAAAACATTTTTTCCGTATTGATATATAGTTATGTCAACACTCGTGGAAGTTGGGAAAACTCGAAATTGTATGAAAACACTCCGCCCTTCGGGCGTCGTGTTTCCATACAATTTCTCGTTTTCCCAATTCCACTCGTGTTGATATAACTGTATATCAACACGGAAAATGTTTTATATTTGGTAAATATCACGCATGCAATCTTTGCGTTTCTTTATGTAGTTGCCATTGTTGGATTTACCCAAGCACTATATACTGTGAATGAGAACGCGGATGCTGTTGTGGAAGTTCAACTGCAGAACACTCTAGCTGTATCTGTGACTGTGAGGTAACGTTACCGTTTGTTAGGTTTAAGTTAATGAATACAATCCACAAACAACTTCCGGGAGCCAAGAATCCTAAACTCCAAACAAAGGGCTACGTTACTACTGATGAAGATATTAGACTGGAGTCTCGAATCCTTGGCTCATAAATGAGATTAGTTTGGGGTTGCATTCATCAAATCAGAGAGGAAACATGTCTGACTAACAACATTTTATTGACAAATACATTTTGGTGGACGAGTATACAAAATATTTTGGACTGTTAGTTTAGGGTGGAAATAGCATCGAATTAATATTTCGTAAACAGTTTCTTTGAAGCCTTGCCTTAACGTTTTCAATATGTTAGTTTGAAACAGCAAACTCTTTTCTAATATGGATTGTTGATTTGCTGTGCTAGTAAGTGGCTGGAAAATTATATACCATCTATGAAGAACTACTCCAGTAACAAGTAGGATCACGGTCTCTATGATATGAAGACGAAAAACGATAGAGTAAGGACTATGACCGAATTTCTTGACTATATCCAGACTGCATGACCCTGATGCTACATAGCTTTGCTTTGATATGCGACACTGGGCTAATAACTTTGGTATTCGTGGAAGGATGGTAGTAATCGGCCATTCTCTTACAAAGTATTTTATTATAAAAACCTGTGCACGGTCACATGAACTTTTGGACAGTTAAATAATTATCCCCAAAGTTATCATCTAGTCGAAAATGGCCATGCTGCTAAAATACTAATAAGCATGCAATATTCATTAGATTTGTGCATGGTGAAGTATACTGTAGTCTTAACAAAAGGTCGTTGTTCATTTATGAAGCTTTTTCCCTAACTTTCCAAGATCCCTTGCCATTTGTTGTTTGACTATGGCAACAATTTATCCTTCATGTGCTGTAAATATATGGTTCTATTATTGTTTCAGTATTAAGACAACAACTGGGACTGCTGGCTCAAATGACTTTGGTGGAATTACAAGAAGGGATTTAACCTTTGATCCTGGGGAAACTACCATTCCAGTAACTATTCAAATAGTTCGCGATGTGAATGTCGAGAACAATGAAAATTTTATTGTATCTTTGGAAACTACCCATCCACGAGTGCAATTTTCTCGAAATACAGCAACAGTTAGGATTGACGATGACGATCGTGAGTATTTTATCTTATTTATTGTTTGTGACAAAATAATTAGCGAAAACGTCTGGTAAATTTTTAAGATGATGATAGCGAAACATAAATAATGCGGTTAAGTAGTCATTGATTTTAAAAATGTCTAGAATATTCATTCTTTAAAATATAAACTCAGTTGTTCCAAATAAAAGTTAGGTGACATCAAACGTGCGATTTTTTTAAAATTTCTGTACCTGCATTACTCTTCCTTTGGGTGTAGATAAAAGGCGGACGGATAAAAGGCGGACGGATAAAAGGCGGACGATGGACCGCGGACGACGGACGGCGGAGCATTTTATAAACACATGAATGCTGAATAAGAAAATTCATTGCTAAGAATTCGAACGGGTGAAAACATTCACTTGTACTTTAATTTAGGGCATTATAATTAGTTGCGGTAGTAATCATGCGTTTATAAAATGCTCCGCCGTCTGTCCGCCTTTTATCTACACCCAAATTTTATGGTTGAAGTAAAATTGCAATGAAATAGATAACTTTCATGTTAGACTAATTTTTTATCTAGGCAAAAAAAGTAATTTCCCGTAAAGAACTTACCAAAATTAGTAAAATTTCAAAATTTGGTTACGAAATGTTGTGAAATATGGAAAATATAGCCTTGCGAAGTTTGCATATTTTGTATATGTTTGTATTTACGTGCGGAAATTGTTACCATTTTTGAGCCGAAAATGGTAGCAATTTCCGCACGTAATACAAACATATATACCCTAACATTTTTATTCATCGGGAATCCTATATAGAATTAATAAGGAAAATGTTTTTATATTTTTTTGTTTGTGGAAATACCTTAATGCATCATTGGAAATAATAATATTAGGTATTCTCTTGTAAAATTATACTTCTTTCTTCCACGTACGTGTTGTCCCGAGAAAGGATCACGTAATTTTGTTATTACAGTAATAATGCTGATTGTTTTTAGGTGTCAGCATCGCATTCCAACAACCTCGGTACATTGTAAATGAAGATGATGGATCTGTTCAAATCAGTTACCCAATAGTTGGTTCCACTGACGTCCCTCTGAATTACGTGTATGTTTAGTACTGATGTGATTTTTAACAAAATAACGGGATAAAAATCGGGATTTTGTTGGCATCTCAATCGATTCAATAATAGTTGAAGGGTCTTGTACATGGAAATTATCTAGAGTGGAAATTTTGTATACATTTATTAGACCTAACCAGGAACAGTTGCGAAAAATGCAACTACATGCAGGGTGTATAAAAAAAAACTGAACAGATTTGAAATTGCTCTCAATTTTGCAAAACAGCTATTAGTATCCAGTTTTTTATATATATAGTTTCTTTGGGTACTTATAATGTAGAAAAATCAAAAAAAATTCTCGAACTCAAATTTTGTGAACCAGGGGGGGGGGGGTCTTTTCCAACAAACTAAAAATGGCTTGAGCACGAAATTTAAAAGCTGTAATCATATTTTGAGTTAATAGATGGAATATTTGTTGGGGTTTTAATTACTGTACAAAATTTCGGACAATTTGCTTTAGTTTAAGCCCTTTAACTATTCACGCAAACTTACATTTTTTTCTAAAAAATCAGCTATTTGCATGCTTAATCAGCAATATGTCAAAATGAATAGTTAAAGGGCTTAAACTAAAGCAAATTGTCTGAAATATTGTACAATAATTAAAAACCCAACAAATTTGCCATCTAAGTTCTTTGTATGTTTGCATGGCGATAAAAAATAATAGTTTTGTTTGTGGAAACACCACGTAAATGTATTACTGCAAAGCTTTCGATCCGTAAGCCCGGATCTTCATCAGTGCTAATAATATGTGACTTGTTTAATTCACACGCTCTTTTTATATAGAAAAGTGTGGTGATCTGTTGGCTCGCGTCATTTGAAATTTAATTGAATGGCACATCAACCACGTCATTTCAAACGTAGTGAAGTGACTCCAATTAACGCGCGCGCATCCAAGACAAGAGAAATTAATTTTGCACATTAAAGAGAGCACGCCACGTACTATCTAGTGGCTTTCCCTCCTGATCTATAGTATTGTGCTTCTCGATTTCAATTGACTCTCTCATTTTGCGAGAGAAGTCCAAGTATGTTTAGCCACATACAGCAGATTTAGATAATAAGTTCTTTGAATGTTTGCATGGCGATAAAATATAATGTGTTTGTGGAAACACCACGTACAATTTATTACTACAATTTATTATTACATTATTGCAGTAATAGATTTAGATAAATCTGAGCAAGATAAATCGAGCAAGATAAATCATCAAGATGAATCATCATCATAATCTCGAGCAAGATAAATCTGCTGTGGCTTCAAATCGAAATCGAGAAGCACAATACTATAGATCAGGAGGGAAAGCCACTAGATAGTACGTGGCGTGCTCTCTTTAATGTGCAAAATTAATTTCTCTTGTCTTGGATGCGCGCGCGTTAATTGGAGTCACTTCACTACGTTTGAAATGACGTGGTTGATGTGCCGTTTAATTAAATTTCAAATGACGCGAGCCAACAGATCACGACACTTTTGTATATAAAAAGAGCGTGTGAACTCTTTGGCACAGACACAGAATAGGAAGTTATACCAGAAGCGTAACTCGAGCAAATATTTGTCCGCGTTTTTACAAGCGATTCGTCATCAATCACGCCATCCTGGCTAGTACAACCGGCACTTTGTACCTACCAAATCCTGATAAAAACTTCCGGCTGTACTAGCCAGGATGGCGTGGCCTGACGTGAGCGAGTTAAAATTTTCGTGGACGTCAGACAATAAGGGAAACGACTAGAGTTACGCTTCTGGTATAACTTCCTATTCTGTGGCACAGAATAGAAAATAGACCAGAAACCTCACTTAGCCAAAATTATGTCCGAGATTTTTTATGCGCAGGCGCGAGCCAGCAAGTGTAATCACGACGTCATCAAACGCCATCACTAGGTAATAAAGATTGCTGTTTTAACCGTTTTGCTGACGAACGCTGACGTGATGTTCGCAGCAAGTGTCACACACGTCATCTAGCGTGCGAAATTCGTGATCCGCAAGGCGAAAATCGCGGACACGAAAATGTTAGGAAAAGATATACAGTGAGGCTTCTGGTCCATTTTCTTTTCTGTGTCTTTGGTGTGAATTAAACAAGTCACATATTATTAGCACTGATGAAGATCCGGGCTTACGGTACGAAAGCTTTGCAGTAATAAATTTACGTGGTGTTTCCACAAACAAAACTATTATTAAATTTGCCATCTATTGACTCAAAATATGATTAAAGCTTTTAAATTTCATGCGCAAGCCATTTTTAGTTTAAGTTCTTTGAATGTTTGAATAAATTTACCTGGTGTTTCCACAAACAAGAACAATTATCATTTTTAGTTTGTTGGAAAGACGCACCCCCCTGGTTCACAAATTTTGAGTTCGAGAAATTTTTTTCATTCTACATTATAAGTACCCAAAGAAGCTATATACATCAAAAACTGGATACTAATAGCTGTTTAGCGAAATTGAGAGCAATTTCATATCTGTTCAGTTTTTTATACACCCTGTATAGGTCCCTGGCAGGAATCGAACCTGCGGCCCTGCGATTCCGGTGCAGCGCTCGAACCAACTGAGCTACAGAGTCCAGTTGGTTAGGTCTAATAAATGTTAGGCCTGTACATATTTCTATGTATGTATATATGTTCTAAATTTCCACTCGATAATTTTCATCTACAAGACCCTTCAACTATTAATGTCCATGTAATGGAAATGAACAGGCAATTGAAGAGCTCTGAAATATTTTTATTCGTTCTTAAATATTTGTGCGTTGTAAGAAATGATGCGATGTTGTCTCTGAATGTGTCCACACCAGGCAAGCTAGTCCAATGCTCCGGTGTGGACACACTCAACGTCACAAACAATCCAAACATATATATATCTTCACCTAAGTGCATAACACTAGAATCAAAACAGTTCATTAATGAGCAAGCATAAGAAATTTAAATAAGCTGACAAATGGGTCTAAATATTCTTAACAAGTACACAGTCCACGTTAAAAATTATGTGTAATATTTCCCCTTTCAAACATGTATACGTATTGATTTTTTGTCAAATAGTTTATGTCTCTATCTTTTATAGTGTTCACATTGATCAAGGCAGCGCACGGCTAGGTTCTGACTATCTTGGGATCGCTCTACCAGTAACAATATCACAAGGAACAACTCAAAACACTGTAACTGTCCAACTTGTTAACGATGAAAATATTGAATCAAATGAAACGTTCGCATTGCGTATGGATAACCTGAATGATGCGCGCATTATTCTGGCAAATCCCTCAACCACAACAGTTGAAATTCTCGATGACGATGGTGAGTGTTGCACATCGTTTTGAACTTAAGGCTGATTTCCACTGTTGCGTTTTTCATACGTACGTGTACGCACGTAAAACTTTAAATCCGTTTAAATGTTACTTATGAAATAACCAAATAAATAAAGCAACAGAATTTTGTGTTCCGCAAGTTTTATAGTATGCATTTGTTAACTTATTTGTAAAATATTTAAAAAATAGAAGGATTCAAAGTTTTACTACAGTACGTGCGTACGAAAAACGCAACAGTGGTGAAATTAGTCTTCACACTAAATCGAGCTAAGGTCTGGAAACATAGCCGACTTCACCGTGAACAAATCTGATATTAATATTTCAACAGTACTGATTCAGAATTATTGCATTTCAAGAACAATACTTATTTTCACATAAAACATGCTATGCACAGATAATTTTTCAAATATTTTTACTGACTGATGTATAATGCGTGGTTTTTAAACTATTTATCAAACATGTGTTGAAAGAGAAAAAGAGAAGTATAAATTTCAGTTCTGTTCACTAATATCTATACACATAATTACTGAATTATTTGACGAGATGATGCCATTGGATAGTAGCCTGCATGTAGCAGCCGTGTTTTTTTTTGGGGGTGGGTTGCGGGCTGGAAAATTAGGGCGGGAGAATATTTCCCGCCCTAATTTTGCATAAACATGAAACAAAACTAGAAAAAGGCTCATGAGTTTCAAGACCATGACTTGATTAAGGGCGGAGGTACTGGGAAGAGGGGGCACTGGCTTCGCCAGTGATTTTTGCAGGCAAACCCGCCCCACAATAATATTATTAATTAAAAGACCTCAGACAGAAAACCGTCGCTTCTATTGGAAACATTGCATTCCTTCAATCGGAGAAAAAGGCCGATCGAAACCTATATATAGTCGCTCTCGCCCCAGCGACTAATTATTTGTTCTTTTTTAGCTGCAACTGTTGAGTTTACACAACCGCAATACAGTGTTTTGGAAAGCGGTGTGTCTGTTACTGCTACCTTGAATTTAACGGGAATACTTGATCAGGCTACCACAGTAAGGTACGCTCCTGGCGAATACATTTTTGGATTGGAAGCCGAAAATGGCCACAGCAAAAATATGAGGAAACATCACGGCAAATATGGCAGTGATGGAAGTAAAAGTGGCGACGGAAGTGAATCTACAATTCATTCATTTCAATTCAAGATGCCATCTTTGGAAGAAGATTTGATACGTGATTATTTCAGTCAAGGATACGGATATAAAGAAATCATTTGATGTTGAAAACCGGCATATCCGAAGAGACGAAAGCCAAATTTTGACATAGATTTAGTTCCAGAAGATCAGAGATTTATTGAAGGCGCCATCTTGAATTGAATTGAATTGAATTAATTTTGGATTCAATTCCGTTGCCACTTTTACTTCTGTCTTCGCCAAATTTGCCGTGATGTTTTGAGAAAAAATTGCGATTACAGTATGTCTCCATATTAAAAGAGGCCACTATGGCACTTCTGGGCTCGCTTAAAAAATTGTGCATTGTTTTCTCACTTTTTGCCGTAGCACTAGGTAGGAAGATGACGTAGGAGGTAGGGAGGTAAGTAGATCGCTATCAAAACATCGCGCATGAACAACGAATATGCGAAATTTGTAATGCTGAATTGAAGGGATCTAACCAAGGAAATTTATAATCCTGAGGATTCGAGTCTGTGTGAAGTGGCACACAACTCGCCCATTGACTAACTTGTCGAATCGAGCATGTTGTTAAATTTACTGTCACATGAATTGCAAGTAAGTGAGTGGCTACGTAGGTTAGCACTATTTTCCATCCAGCAAACTGACCTGACGTCATTTTCGCCAGATAGAAGAGGTGTTAAATGGCTATGTAACTAACCCAAACCCTACCCCTACTCTAACCCCTAACCCTAACCTCAACCCTAACCGAATTAATAAAAAAAAATCCAAAAAGAAACGACTTTACAAAATCGACAGGACGGTTTGCTGGATGGAAAAAAGTGCTAACCGGCTAGGTAAGCTTGTGGGTGGGAAGGCAGAATAAGTAGGCAGGCAAAAATCCAAAGGAATGTGTGGGTAAAATCACAGGAAACTAAATTTGCAGGATAACAATTAAAAATTTACAACAGTTTAAATTTGTGACACATATTTTCGTTGACTTCAGTGTATCAAGCCACGACGTCACCGCCATTGCTGGCCTAGATTATACAGCGATTTCAAATCAAGAAATAACATTTACACCTAATGGACCAACTGAACAAGACATTGTGGTACAGATTAGTAATGATTCTCTCCTGGAAGGAACAGAATCTTTCCTTCTAGCTGTTTCCTCGCAAAATGTCAATACTAGAATTGGAGATAATGCAAATACAACTGTGAGGATTCTTGACAACGACGGTAAGTGTTTGTTCGAAGGAAACCTTGAAAAACTTGCTTTTTGTCTTGTTTTTTCTTCAAATACTCAATACATGTCTCAAAATCCTGATGATTAAGCCTTGGTCCTTATTCTTAATAAAAAATCCATGTTGTACGTTAGAGAAATGGTTTTAGCAATGATCGTGAACGGTCTGTGCCAGTGTATGTAGTGCCAATCATAAGAAAGCTTCTGATGGATACAACTACCTGAAAAATACAAAGAGAACTTCGACGTTTCGAGCCCTAGTTCACTAATAAGGACCTGATGTCACTAGTCATTTAATATAATATTCTTAATTATTAGAATTACTTAATCTGTCTAGTAGTATCTAGTATAGCAAATCCTAAAATATGATTTTCAGAGCCTAAATAACATAAAGTCAGTTTTAAACCATATTTTGTTCATATTTTACAGTTGTCAGTGTTGATTTTGTACTAACAAGTGTTAATGCATTGGAACAAGTTAGTGCTGCAATCGTTGAAATTGAGATACAAGGAGCCCGAACACTACCTGTCACCGTTAGGTAATTATAGAGCAAAAAAATATTTCAGTAACGCTAATATTACCTTTGACCCCTATATCTTAACAAACTTAAATGTAACATTTGTTGCAGGCTTTTATGCAGATTAATATAATGCCCTTTTTTGTCGAAGGCACCACAATTATTCCTACAGCAGTTCAGGAATAGTATCTTTAGTTAATAAAGTGATAGAGTTGAATCAGTTGTTGGAAAACTCACTTCTGATTATGGTCTCAGGTTTTAGCATACCAACATTCTGACCACTGCTTAAGCTACTGGGATCCCGATTGAGACACCCTTATTGAAATACTTTGGTTCATTCATGCTTGAGACATTCAGTAATTCATTTTTCAACAAGTAATTTGATTGTATTTAGACACCACGTTAAGTAATCATGATTATATTTATAAACCACAAACCAACATATATTACTATGTTCTCTTTCAGAGTTCAGTCGATCAATTTAAATGCAGAATCTGGAAGCGATTACACCGCAGTTGACACAGAAGTTACCTTCCAGACATCTGAAAGCACAAAAAGCGTGCCTGTGCTTATAACAAACGATAATTTGATTGAAATTGATGAACAATTCATTTTACGTCTTTCATCTGATGATAATAATGTTATAATAAACGATAATGAAATGAGGATAACAATTGTAGATAATGACGGTACGTGATACACGGTATATGAACAGGCTATCCATTTCTTAATGAATAAATTCAGGATATTGTTGGAACTCATCGAGCTCTTCACCAATAACACACATTTCTGGTGCGGAATCGGTTTCGTGCGTTATAATTGTATCATGCGTCGAGTTCGTCTCTACTTCCGAAAATGCAGGACAAAGATTTATAAATTTCTCTTCAAATGTTCATCAAAATCCTGCCAAAATTGGACCAATTTGTCTCTACCAACCATCGGAGATAGGAATGTTTTGGCTAATATATTTGCTCTTTTCTTGTTTCAGTGGCTGCCATTAGATTTGAACAATCATCTTATACAGTCAATGAAGCAAATGACAATGTGACCCTTCACATACTATTGACTGGCAATCTTGGTATTCCTGTCTCAGCAGAGTAAGTGGTTGTTATTTATAGTTATCAGTGGAAGGGAGACACTTGACTAGTTCATTTCTTTTTTCAATGGGATAACATGTATTATCTATTCAAAATTTTGGTCCAAATGTTATGTCAGAAAACGCAGTAAATACATTCTTATTGGGGAAGCAAGCCTGAAAGCTACTATATTACTAACCTGAAGTTCAGGCCCTAATTTTAAATAGGAGGGCCTGAACTTCAGGTTACTATATTATCGTCAACAAATTTCCTTTTCGATCTGCATGAACGTTAGTGTGGAATGTTATTCCCAGATGAGGTGGTCTCTTGTAACATCACATTTAAGCCAACCACGAACAATTTCATAAGTGCACCAAAATTTTGAATGATGAAATTAGCTGAATGAAAAATTGCGATTTACAAATAATAACTTTTAAGCTTGTCGTTTCAAAGGTCTGCCAAAACTCTACCAAACAGTTTTTTGTGTATAGAGATTTTAATGAAATAAATCTATATCTGAATTACCTTTCTTGTAGAGTCCAGCTTAATGCACAAACTGCTGATGATGGTACAGATTTCACAATCCCAATAACAAGGACAGTGACGTTCTCACCCGGGTCTAATAGAGCAGATATTACTATAAATATCATTGACGATGATATTGTTGAGGCAACGGAAACATTCTTTGCCGATCTGGCGGGAATTGGTCCTAAAGTTATACTAGGCTCACCTCGGAGAACAACTGTGTTTATCCAGGACAATGATAGTAAGTCAGTTTCCATATTTATTTCATTCACGCACTTCATTCACGTATTTCATTCTTAAAATCCTCACCCTCTTAACTCGCCAATATTTCAATAACTTTTAAACATCAGAGTGAGTGTAGTAAATTAAAACAAAAGATGAGCCGATGCTTATAAACAGTTTTGACTAATGTAATGAGTGAAATATCGCTTTCTTTAACATTTCCGTACAGTGCATTTTACCACTAAAGTCTCAGTGTAAGACTTAAGCTACTGTAGTGATGGGATTAACAACACTTTATTTATTGAGGATAAACAGATAAAGTTACAACTTTTTCCCAATCTGGTCCTCCTAAACTCTATAGACACAACAACAATAGCATTAAACATGACTATTTTCAGTACTTCCTATAGGAGTATGAACAAATGAAATCATGGGTATAATGTAAAGTATTAACCAGTACTACAATTCAGTTGTTCATACCTTGAGAAAGTCCCAATTTACTAATTAGGCAATTTTCTAACTAGTATGTTTAAATTATATTTACCGTACAGTATAATAAGTCAAAATACGCGTTGACAATACAACTCACAAGTGACTAAAGTGACATTATAAACATGACAGTATTTGACACTTTCTCCATGTACGAACAACCGAAAGTTAGATCATGCTCAGCTAAAACTGCAGGCATGAATTTCGGCAGTTCGTACATCAAGAAGGCAACCAACTTATAGTCTTAATAAAAGAAAAAACATGCAAACAAACAAACACTAAATGTTATGGATGATTATGCTCAAGAGTAGCACATTTCCACTCGCTATAGAAGTAGCAGTTCGACGAATGGGATCGAACAACTCGGTCAAACTTAAATGTTGTTAATTGAGTGCCGTGAATGAGGAGCATCTTGTTTGTTTTCCAGTGAAGAGTATTTTGTTTACTTCCATAAAACGTGTTTTGGTAACTTTTGTATCAAGTAACCGTTATTTTGCCAGTAGTGAAGTGTAATCAATATGTTTATTATTTGTGTCTCAGATGCCCTTGTACGTTTCTTAATTTCAACAAGAAATGTGAATGAAGATGCAGGATTTTTGAATATGACGATCGAGCTTATTACTGTTAATCCTTTACAAAGAGACGTTTCAGTAAGGTAAATTGAAACCTTTTGTAACTATGTTTCCTCATACAGAAGCGTTGGGAATTATTGTGGCGAAGTGGTCAGGGCCAACCAATGGTACTAACGATTTTCACCTCTAGGAATGCAGGTTTCAGTATAGCTTTGATAGAATCGAACCCAAGACATTCGTGTGTATACGGTTCTGAAGGTTGTGGGGGGTTTTCAAGGAACTTTGGTTCCTCCCACACTGAAATTCGTCAGCGTGCGCAAGGATGCAAAAAGAATAAGTTTGTTTTGTGTTTGGTTCCTCCCACACTGAAATTCGTCAGCGTGCGCAAGGATGCAAAAAGAATAAGATTGTTTTGTGATGTCTGTTGTGCTAAGTATGGTTTATAGATCGGCAATTATATTATAGTCGAAAGAAGGCCGTAAAACTAAAAAGTATTAATAAATGTTTGTGATATGTTACATGTATTAATATAGATTGCAATGCAACAGTAATTTACCACAGTCATTCTCTTTCCACAGGTATTCAACTGAAGAAGGTACAGCAGAATCTCCTGAAGATTTCTCAAATGTGGTTGGATCAACTGTGATCTTTAGAGCAGGAGATAGTAATGGAGCCAGACAATATGGAATTGTCCCAATTATTGATGATCAAATAGTGGAAGCCTCTGAGTCATTTATTATAAGGCTGATATCAATAGATCCTGGTTTGATTCCCACAACATTTTCATCGACTACCATCAGTATCATTGATAATGACAGTAAGTGGTTATTGGATTTTGCTTAGCCAATCATCACCATCAGCATAGTGTCTGTCATTATGATGTCATCGTCATCATCTAGCATATGCTCTTTTATGATGACTATAACTATTACCATCACTATTATACCTTAATCATCATGATTATCACCATTCTCGTACACAGAGCCCTTCTTACGCGCGGTCAACAGAGCGCGACGAGGGGCTCTGGCAAAATCCAAACCGGATACCATAAAAACATGGTATCCGGTTAAACACTGCGCATGCTCAACTCTAATTGAGCATGCGCAGTGTTTAACCGGATACCATGTTTTTATTGTATCCGGTTTGGATTTTGCCAGAGCCCCTCGTCGCGCTCCGTTGAACGCGCGTAAGAAGGGCTCTGGGTACGAGAATTGATTATCACCATCAATACTACCATAATCATCACTACTAACATAATATAAATCATCACTGTCACATCATAATCATCATTATCACCATCATGATTATAAATATTATCATCATCACCAATTCACCATCACCACCATCATTGTCTTCATCACCACTACCATAGACATTCAGGGAACTTTGCAGCTCTCCATGTCACAATGCTATAATTATTGAAATTTATAGGAGCAACCCTTGCTTTTGCACAGTCAGCGTATTCAGTAAACGAGCCAGACACTCCTGTACAACTTCTCGTACTGTTAACTGGAACGATTACAAGAACCGTTACGGCTAGGTAAGAACATTACAAATTAGTAACTTTTGCCTTGTTTATTTTGTTGTTATCGACTTGTTGTTGTTGTTGTTGTTGTTGTTGTTGTTGTTGTTGTTGACCTGTTGTTGAGATGCAACAAATTGTTTTTGATCTTGTAAGTACTGTTGTTTGGATTCTGTTTAATTTTGGTTTAAGCAACTTTAATTTATGATCCTGTTGTGTTTTAAGCGTCTTCTGATTCTCATTTTGTCTTCTGATTCTTACTGTAAATCATGTTCACTTTTTGTATTTCCCAGAGTAAATACCTTAAATATTGATGCAGTTGGTGGAAGCGATTATAGTTCTATTGCAGACCGGCAAATAACGTTCAGTCCAGGGAATCCAACATTCCAATCTGTCGATGTCACTATCAATGATGATGCTATCGTTGAAAATAACGAGAGATTTACAGCCACACTTACAGCAGAGAACGGTGTAAATATACGGCCTGATCGTGCCACAACAACTGTTACTATTGTTGACAATGATGGTGGGTATACTGTTATGCTCAACTATGAGTCTATAGTAAATTCTGATTCACATGCATGTGACAGTGATCCTTGACCTTATCTTCGCACAAGAATATTGAGTGTTTTAATTGTGGTTAGTTCCGACGATTTTATTGTGAAAAGGATATATAATTTTGCAGCATGCATTAAGTTGAAATACATTTGATCTTTATAATTTAAAGATCAAGATCTGAAGTTTTATATTTCACAAAAAACACTTAATAATTGTTTCTACGAACAATGAGAATGTGCAACGCATTTAGGTATCGTATACATTCTTGTGAGGAGTTATACCATTGATAGGTCACTTTGTAATCTGGCTAAAAATTTACTGACCTGCAGCAATAACGTTGTATTTGGTTACAGAAAAGTGGTTTACTGTATAGACCAAGCATACTTTGTTTTCTCTTTTTAGTGGTTACTGTCTCACTGCAAGCTTCCCAAATTGACGTGACTGAGGCTAGTGCCAACGCTATTGTCCTTGTTACAGTGAATGGTGCCAGAGAAAGGGAAATAAGTGTCAAGTGAGTTGAAATATTCATAGGAATCACCAAAAGACCAAACATGAGTGCCAAAAATACCAAAAGTTGATGGGGTTCGTAATTAGACGAATTTTGATCCATTCTTTCGAGATCCTAATGTACAGCCAACACCAACACCTTGGGTCCCTCCCTTACGAAAATCAACACTATTTTAACCCTATTTTACTTTCTATTTTATTCCTATAGAAAAGCTATTTTATTTTTAACCCTATCATATTGCTATCACATATACAAATCCTTTATTAAACCTATTAGAACTCTGTTTTAATTGTATTTTATGGCTATTATAAATAGGTTTTTTTGAAACAAAAAATAGCTTATTGTAAATAGATTTTATTTTTCTGAATCGGTGAAGCACAGATTAAAATAGGTTTAAAATAGGATAAAATATATTTAAAATAGAGTGCAAAATAGAAATAAAATAATAAAGTAAAGTGAAATATTGGTAATAAAATAGATTTTAAATATACATAAAATAGGTAAAAAATAGTCGAAAATACATATAAAATAGTGGATCAACTGCAGTATATTAACTAAAAATAGTAATAAAATTACTGCAAAAATAGTAATAAAATAGTTTAAAAATATGAATAAAATACTGATAAGAATAAAATAGTAGAATTTAAAATAGTGATAAAATAGCGAACAAAATAGTAAAAAAATAGTTTAAAATTCTTATAAAATAGTATAAAAATAGTAATAAAATTGTAATAAAATAGTCGAGAGTCATAACAGTTCTAAAATGATTAATAAAATAGTTATAAAATAGTCAGAAAGTAGTAATAAAATAGTTATAAAATAGCAATAAAAGAATAGTAAAATAGTCATAAAATAGCAATAAAATAGTCAGAATGTAGCAATAAAATAGTTATAAAATAACAATAAAATACCTAATAGTATATAAAAATAGTAGTTTATCCCTATTTTACTTTCTATTTTATTCCTATAGAAAAGCTATTTTATTTTTAACCCTATCATATTGCTATCACATATACAAATCCTATATTAAACCTATATTAGAACTCTGTTTTAATTGTATTTTATGGCTATTATAAATAGGTTTTTTTGAAACAAAAAATAGCCTATTTTAAATAGATTTTATTTTTCTGAATCGGTGAAGCACAGATTAAAATAGGTTTAAAATAGGATAAAATATATTTAAAATAGAGTGCAAAATAGAAATGAAATAATAAAGTAAAGTGAAATATTGGTAATAAAATAGATTTTAAATATACATAAAATAGGTAAAAAATAGTCGAAAATACATATAAAATAGTGGATCAACTGCAGTATGTTAACTAAAAATAGTAATAAAATTACTGCAAAAATAGTAATAAAATAGTTTAAAAATATGAATAAAATACTGATAAAATAGTAGAATTTAAAATAGCAATAAAATAGTCAGAATGTAGCAATAAAATAGTTATAAAATAACAATAAAATACCTAATAGTATATAAAAATAGTAGCACTGCACATAGTTCTTTATAAAGTAATAAAATTGTAGTATGATAATTAAAACCAGTTAAAAAATAGTAATGAAATAATATCAAATTAACTTAGTACCATGGTTGACAGGTATATTATCGTTTAAAATTGAATAAAATAATACACATAAAACAGTTTGTATTCTTATTAGCTGTCAATGCTAGGTTGTGACAGTCTAACAGCGGCAGGGGTGAATGGGGCTGGTTAAGCAGTGTCAAATCAATGGCATTGTTTACAGGGACACCGGAACTGTGGGGGGCAGGAGGGGCAGCCGCCCCCTTAAAATTGTCTAGCTTGAGACCACACAGTTAAATATTGTGTGCAGAACTTAAAGTAGGGAGTGTTAAGGAAAATTACATCTAAATATGTCAACATGAAACATCATGGGTATGAAATATCATGAGTCTAGCTGGATACTTTCCTTGACAAATAAAATTGTCCAACATTAGGCAAGATACAGAAACACTTAAATATTAACAAACTGCTGAAAATTGGGCACTTCGGAGTGAAATGGGTAATTTCACCATTGTCGTGACTTGCCGGGTTGTGTCTAAAGATATATAAAATGTAGCCCAAAAGGTTGTTACATGTATTATTAAGCAGATCATGCAGGTGGTATAGATAAATGTATTCATATATTATAAACTTTGAACAAGCAAACAAAGGACTTTGACTGTTTCCAGTTAGGGCACTTCCATAATCAAGTTGCCACACAACAAATTGATCAAATTAACATTTTACCTATTAACCGACCCACCCGGCATTAAAAACTTAAGCATGGCATACAAAGGAAATTGAAATTAACCCTCTATACCCCCATTCCATTGATATCCTAATACATTGTACTATTACCCTCAGATGTTAGACATGGTAAAATCAAACAGAACTGAAAGAATCCAGCTTTAATGCAACCAACACCTGGTGTTAGACTGAGATTGAAAAAAAAATTAAAGTAGGGTATATAAGTGCTATAATGGGACATCCTTTTCCGGCTGATAATTTCAGCAAATATACTAGATAGATATAAGTAGAAAATAATATAACGGCATGTCTTGCAAATATAACGACATATCTTGTGAAACACTGCTGAAGGTGAATCATATTTGATTCAAAACGTACAGTTTTCATAAATTGTGTGTTAATTACTATATAATGCACTCCTTATTCAGAATAACTTTTATTCTATGACTATTATGTAACTGAGACATGCACATTTAGCTGGGATATGCCTAGGTATTTATAGGCATATAAAGAATTGACGATTGAAACTTCAGTAGATGCCAAGCTATAATGACCCTATAATATATTAATCCCCGTGGATATTCGTCCGACACCGGATTCCTGCTTCACGGCTATTCATCCGACAACGCTTTAAAAGCTAACACTAAACCACTAAAAGGGTTGCGTTGTTTCTTAAGAACGAAGCAACAACATATTCGATACGCTGTACGTTTCGTACGCGGTGCGTAAGCGAAAATCACGAAGAAAAATAAAAGTATAAAAAAAAATAATAAAATAGTGGCGCGAGCAGGAATCGATCCAAGAACTTGGCGCACACATTACGGGTGCCTAAACCACTACACTACGAAGGATTCGCTTGAAATTCAATTAAATTTACGCTGTTTTATTTTTAGCGACTTTCACGATATGGAAATGTCGGACGAATATCCACTTCCTATATTAATTTTGATACAAGAAACACTGCCACTGGAATCTGGCAATACACAACTATTAACTATTTGGCATTAGTTAATACAATAAACATAATTTAATATAAAGACTTCAGGAGTCAAATGTAAGCTTTGAATTAAACTAACGTTTTATATCATCGTTTTAAATATTGTCGCGGCAAATTCAAATTTTAAGCCGAAACATCAAGCACGTGCATTCTCAAAATTCAGGAATGAAAATTGAAGTAGAAAATATTTCCTTTCAAAATAGCTCTATTATACATAAAACATAACAAGATTCTTAGCTGGATATTACTCTGTCATCCCTGATGTTTCATCTTCGCTTATTAAGGCTTCATCTGCTCGGCAAATTCAAATTTTAAGCCGAAACATCAAAGGTCATCAAACACGTGCATTCTCAAAATTCACGAATGAAGATAGCAAATATTTCCTTTCAAAATTGCTCTATTATACATAAAACATAACAAGATTCTTACCTGGATATTACTCAATCATCCCTGATGTTTCATCTTCGTTCATTCACGGTTGATAAGGCTTCATCGGCTCGAAATATCGAGCGAAATATTGTAACTTCGAAATCACGAACTGATTATAAAAAATGGCGGGGTGTAAATTCAGTGCTTCCACTTTCAAAAAAATCATTTCCTTCCCAACTGCTCAAAATTTCCTTATTTTTGACAAAAATTCCTTTGATGAAGATGAATTTTACCTAGTTTAAAACTGATATTACAATAATTTATCCTGAATGACGGTGTATTTCTCGGATGAGAAACACCATGAACCTTGCAATTATAAATTATAAATTAATTATAAAAAACTGCAACAGGAGGCTTGAGGTCATGTCTCAGAAATTTTTCAGATTTTCCATTCCCCAGGAGTAGGATTTGGATTTTTGACATTTCCTGACGCGAATTTGCTTTGGAATTGCTATAATCTTAGGATTTATTAGAAATAACATAATATCCTTATTTCCTTGCTGAAAACAAAATTCCTTGCCGTTTCCTAGTAAATTTTATTTCTTTTTGCAAAGAAATGTCCTTGCAAGTGGAAGCACTGCATGGGATGACCAGTGTAGGCAACAGTTGAAGCCTCCCCCTTTTCTCGCCCTCCGCCCCTCACCCCCCTTCCATTATTAATGATTGGTCCCTTATCTGTGTAACTATAAAATACGCTTCTATTTTATTTCATTTTGCTAACTAGGAAAATTCAGAATGTTTTAATTTAAATAGACTATTTTATACATATCTGCAAATTGTAATCCGGAATCCCGGTAAATGTAAAATAGGATTAAAATAGTGTATTTTATTATATTTTGCAAATTAGGGAAAGTAAATAGGTTTAAAATAGTATATTTTATCCCTATTTGAAAAATGTGGCAGTTTTAAAAATGTGCAATAGGTTTAAAACAGTCTATTTTATTCTGTTTTGCGTATTCTGAAAAATAAATAGCTTTAAAATACTATATTTTATATCTATTTTAATTTATGTAATATTCTGCGCGTGCAAAATATGTTTAAAATAGTCTATTTTATTGTTATTTTGCTAACTATGAAAGAAAGATAGGATTAAAATAGTATATTTTATTCCTGTTTGAAATTTGTGCATTTAACTTCCAATGTAAAATAGGATTTAAACAGCCTATTTTATTTTATGAGTTTAAAAATAGTATATTTTATATCTATTTTAATTTCTAACTGCTTTCTGGTGAAGTAAAATAGAATTTAAATAGGCTATTTTAAACCTATTTTTTCTCTGAGGCTCTGGAAAATAGTATTAAAATATGCGATTTTATTTCTATTATCTATAAA